AATAGTTCATAACACATTATTTATTACACATTGTGTTCATACAGTGGTGCCTCCCCACTCACCAACTCCTGATCAGTAAAGCTACTAATTAATTTTTTTTTTTTTGTACAGAAATCCCATCCAAAGCAAAGCACACAAGGCTGCAACTGAGAGCATCAGTAACAGCAACAGAAACAAACTGAATAACGCTCTCTCTACCACAGACTGACGTTCACCAGTGTTTGTGAAGGCACTGTTACCCTTCAAACTTTGTATTTCCACAAGACGCAAACTACACACAGCTGAACTACACTAAAAGGGTTTGAGTGATGCCTCTGCTGGTTATGTTAGACAAATCAGATTTCTCTTTTTTTACCCATCTAAGCGAGCACCAAGTAAGACCAGTAAGCAATAAATCACATTTAACCCAACAAACCAAATAAAGAGATAGATATACAAGGTTTCTTAGCTTTTCACCAAACAATATTAATCCAACAGGATATATAAGGCCATCATTAAGCTTCACTCTGAAACAATGAGCTCCATGACCAGAGAGACAACCCAATCATTTTTCAAGCCTTTTGCAATGGCAAGCACAATGACTGGCTGTAAGTAAGGACAGAATCAACCATCTTCATAACTTAAAGCATAGGCTGTCACCATCTCAGCTATAAGAGTAATGGTGGCAGCAACATAGTGTGGGAACTATGATGATGCACGTAGCCACTGTAGGCTAGTTGCAGCCACAACTACAGTAAGATCTAGTAATTCCTGTGGCAAATAGAACTAAAGTATTTTGCAGTTAATGGAATGGGGTTACCAAAATGACCTGCTCTTATAACTATGGGAGCTTAAAAAGGAACTTAAGTAGTCTCTTCCCACTAAATGCAAGACTAAACAAAGAGAAAGGACCTAAAAAGTGCTAAAAAGAGGTACATGAGTAACATCTCACCTTTGTAACCTGTAGATCCCCAATATTTAACTTCAGAGCCCCTATGGCTGTTTTACACAGAATCACAGCTTCATCACTGCTTTTCACCTGCAAACACAACATACTTACAAGTCAAAGAGCCATAAGTGTTCAAGCCAAGCAGGAAACATCAATTCTTAAAGCATAGCTGCTGCTACTACTGTAGTTAGACTTTGTTGCTTGCTCTATTCTCATATCTAAATCCACCATAGTTTGTTCACGGAAAACTGAGAACGTGTCTCTTCCAATACGAGCAGATGTTAACATTTCTGAATCCACAAATTTAATACACAACACACATGTAAAGTGTGCATTTGCTGCAATATAAAAAGTAGAAAAATTTGAATTGACACACACCTTTTCTCGAGTCTTTTCCAGGAAGGTAAGGGCTGCATTAGGATCTGAAGTGGAGCAAGGAGGAAATCATACTAAGGATCTGAACAGCAGAATATCAGAATCTACTATTACATAAAGTTTACTTTAACAGTCCCACAAAACTAAGAGGCAGATTCTCAGTGGCCAAAGTCACCACACTGCCAAAGGAGTTAACTAATTAGGGAATTTTAAAGCCAAGTTCCCAGCTGCTGTATGTTAGCCATCTCTTCTACATCACTTTGACCACAGTGGTAAATTTTGCCACTTGTTGAAAAAGCATAAACTCAAAGAACTCTTTCAGTATGATGCAAAACCAGAAGCTTCAGTTTCACACTGAAGACTTAGCTGTAACTGTAAACTACCTAAATTCCTAGTCTATTAGGTCATTATGAGAAACAGTAAGGTTACTCACCTGTCATCTGCCTCACTACATGAAGAATGATCTCTACTAGGGACAAAGGGTTCACCCTGGAATAAACAACACATTGTCAGAAAAGGTAAAAATGAATATATTACCAATGAGTTTATGGACAAGTAGTCAGTCTTACCTGTGCTCAAACTCACTGATGAAGTTCTCATAAAGCTAGAGATATGGGGGGAAAAAAAAAGTGCGCCAGTTAGTGACAAGAGGTTATTTTATTCTAATTAGCCCAGTAACTTGCCCCTCATTGAATATGAACTAGTATTTCTAAGAAACAGAATGCAAATTCCCAGGTAGACAGATCTGTCCATACTGACTCCAAACTAGATAAGCCAAATATTGTTCGATTTATAGAAAGCAGCCACCAGGATCACCTTTCAAAAACAGTGGAGAGTGATTCGCCCATCAAAAGATTCATGACTGACCAACTGCCATGAGACTAGCCTTCATCAGCAGGCATTTTAAGTAGGTCTGTTTACAACTTGTAGCCTGTTGCAGGGGCTGCTCAGGTACATTTCTCTAAATGTTCATACAGTCAGTAGAAGCAATGCTCTTTAAAGCTTCTCTAGACAGCCTATGCTAAAGACTGAGTCAGTCCAAATGCTCAGGATTTCTTTGCTGTTTGCTTTTTGATTAACCTAATTAAATAAATGTAAAGTAAAACGGGAAAAACAAGTACAAGAGTATCCAAATGTCTAGATTCAAATATTACTTGTGTGTTGCATTCATAAAGTTGACTATATACCTAACTCAGAAAAAGAAAATTATAACTTTGATGCTAACAGCTTAGGAATTTTGAAGAGATCACCTAGCTTTCACAGAAAAAATAAAGGTTTTCAAAACCACAGATGAACCAAATTAAAACCATGCTCCTTTGAAGACCATGTCAATTTTTCATATTAGAGTGTCACAACATGGTACCTGCTTTTACATTTTTAAAAATCTGCTAAAGCTTTACATCTATTAAAATCTGACCACCAATGACTATCTAAGTGATTTTGCAATCAGGGTGCTGCGAGATCCTTTAAAGGGTGCCAAGGAACATTGGCTGTGCAAACACCTACCTAGGGTTCATAAGATAAACCCAGAGTTTTCAAATAGGAATCCAGTGTCAAAAACATTTTGACTTGTGGTCGCTTTGGGCTCTTTGCAACAGCAAAATTGTTGTTTTTTGTCTTTACTGAAAAAATGAGTGAAAACTAAGAGCTGGCATTTTCCAAGGGATGCCTGGCACCTAACAAGGTTGAGAACCACTGGTTCAGTCTGGTACATTTAATGTTTGTTGACATTTACACAATAATTATTCATGCCATTCCAAACAGAGGAGTGTACTTAGAAAGTACTGAAACACCTTCTCTAGCATCACATCTACAGTGACAACCATGTAAGAAAAACCAGCCGACTCACCTTAATGAGTCCATCTCCTTGGGCAAAGCAGGGGTCCTGCACAAAGTCCAACACCTGCAGAGTCAGCTGATGCCAGAGTCTGAAAACAAAACAAAGTCATCCTCAGCAAATATGAGAACAGTAAGAAACTACCTCAGACCTGACATCCACCGAAATGCCCTGCTTAATTATACAACCCATTTCAGTGAATCTATAAATGACAACAGGGTCATTTCTAACTTTAATCATAGAATCGTAAGAGAAGTAGGGCTGGAAGGTTCACTCCAGAGGTCCAACGCCCTTGCCTGAGGCATGGTCATCCCTATCCAAACCAGCATAGAAACTACGTAAGACTACCCTCAACCCTGACACAACATAGACCTAATACCCTAACTTGCCCAAACAGGTAAAGCAGGGGAACCACAGCTGCCAACTTCCTGCTTCTATAAAAGGTTGCTAATATATGCTCAATAGATCCAAGATAGAAGGCTACACCCCGCCTTACCAAAGAACACAAAAGCCCCTGAGTCTGTACCAGTATGACCAGGGGGTACAATTCCTTCCTGACCCCGAATATGGGAATCAGTCTGACGGTGAGCACAGAGGAAAGACCCTCCAGCCAGGAACCTCTGGTTTATGTCCCAGCAGGAGCACTGGTGCGCTCCAGTCCAAATCCCCAGCTTTGGCTGCTGTCAACACCCAAGGATTTTGGGGAAGGCTTAAAAACACCCTGACACATGTTACAGCTCTTTCAGCTGCTAGTCTGAGCAGTCCAGCATCGCTGCCAGCTTGCAGGCTACTAGCTTTGTGTCCCACCCAGCCTCTTTTATGCTGGTTTGCTTTTGCCGGTAATCCCATAGCTGCTAAACCAGCCTGTAGGCTCCAAACGAAGGAAGAGAGCCATCTCTAGCCTGGCTCAGAGAAGCCTCTGTTGCCTGTGACGGATGACATCACAGTTTCATAGATGCTGGTGGCTAGAAGGGACCTTACAGATCATCGGGTCCAGCCCCCTGCACTTGGGCAGGAAAGACAGCTGGGATCAGATGACCCCAGCAAGATGGGTGTCAAGGGGCTTTCTGAAGATTGCCAGGGTGGGTGACTGTACCACCCCTGGGGGGAGCCTGTACCAAACCCTTGGCACTTGATGCGTAAAGTTTTTCCTTATGTCAAACCGAGGGAAGCACATCAGGTGAAGGCTCATGCAGGGCCCAGGAAACAGGAGCCACTGAGATTTGATCCCATGTTGCTCAATTCAGAGTCCAGAGTGCTAGCCACTACGCTGGGGACCATGGGGCTGGCGTGCAGCCCAGAGTTTCACGCTGAGCAGCTGGAAAGCCGGCACATCCCAGCCAGGGACAGCTGCTATCCAGTCCAGGGGGACCAGGACCAGCGCCAGAGACAGCCAAGGGCTGGGTATCACAGACCGGAGTTTGATTTAAAAAAAACAAAGTCCACCCCCACACACGCGTATGGCTGTGTCCATGTGCATGCGTGCACGTGTGTCGGCCCTCCCATCCTCGTCCACCCGCGCTGCACGACGCGAACGCCCCGCTCCAACGTCCCCCCAGGGGAGACCAGCGCTCGCCGGCCCCCCAGTGCGCATGCGCGGCGCTCAATGCGGAGGGGGGGGTACTACCCCCCCGCGCTCACTTCTTGTTGTAGAGCTCCTCCAGGCGGTGCCACACGGCGGCCTGGCCGGGCCCCGAGCTCTGGCTCTGCTGCAGGAAGCCCGGCACGTCCTTCATGTTGGCGGCGGCGACGGCCGGAGCCGGGGCGACGGGTTTGTGCGAGGAACCGGAAGCAGCGCTGCCGGAAATGCACACTCACTTCCGGCACGCTTTGCCTCACCCCGCCGCAGCTCAGCATCCCGTTCCGGCCTTCGCTGGCGCGGGGCATGATGGGTACCGTATGGCTCCGCGTAGTGCCGCCCTCAACCCCCTCCCCCCGCCCGTGGTAGCCATGGCAATGGCCTGGGCCTAGCGCCGCGGGCGGGGCGGGCTCCCTTCCACCCGGTGCTGCGTGTCCCGTGAGCGGGCGCTTTGATACCGGGGCGAGGCTGTGGCACAGATCCAAGGCAGACCTTGCGAGGAGCGTGTCGCTCAGGACAATACCGAGGTGCTGAGAAGGGCAGTAAATGCTCTTGGAGGACACGGTTTACATAAAGCAGGGGCATACAATCAGTAAAATCATATTTGGCAGCTTTTCATAGGGAAAAAACAATCAAATGCACAGCTCTGCAAGGGAGAAATAATGGTGCAGCAATGGACTCGCAGAGGGAAGTACACAGGTAGTTTTGCAACATGATAAAACGGATAGGAGGGAAGCTCTTGTTGTGCTGATACGTGGGCTGCCTCGCTTCAGACTTAACCCGATGACCACTGATAACACCGCCGCTTGGATGTGCAGAGCCGTGATTGTTTCTCCGGTCCAGGGTATCATGCGACGAAAGCTGTCATCCTTTCGATGAGACAGCGCCAACGTCCAGATGAGGCTCTTTGGGTAAATCCGATATTTTTTATTACACCAAAGTCCAGGGGACTCGTGGACACGAAAGACCCAGTGATACATTTTGAGGGACCTGGTGATGTTTATCCCAATGTCCTGGCCATTTTCCCGTCCAGGGGTTTACGTTCTGTCCAAGGTACATTTTGTATGCCAAACTTCAAAAGTTCAGAAATCATGAGCTGCGACCCTCCGACAACTGCACACCAGCATGACATTATGAGTTATAAAAAATAAAGGCCAACATATTTGGGGTTCTTTTTAGCTGATTTCTGGCTTTTGTGCCTCTGGAAGTGTTCAGATAGTTTCCTCCCCAACCAAGAGTGCAAGAAATCTACTTCTTATTTTGAAATGAAAACTGAGATTCTCCCCAATCACTTGTCTTCTGCAACCAGGGCTGCTCAAATACTGAGGGACTCACTATCAAATCCCATTTTTATTCTTTCCAATACCAAATCAAATAACCTTGTCTACAAATATCTATGGGCTACATCACTTCAATTGGGCCAGTAGCCTACCTGGCCAACCCATAGGCCTGGAAGTTCAGATACTCCCCAGATCCAGACGGGCATCCTATGTGCCAGTCCCAGGCTCAGAGGCCTGGGAGTTCAGATGCCCTGCAACACGCTTGATCTTAGCCAAATAAAAACCCCAATATTTAGCAAAGCTCTAAATTCCTCCTCCTGAAGTTGCAATGAAGGAATGGAATGGGGAAGTTTTTCTTCCCTCCCTGCCCTGAGCGCTGCTGAACAGGCAAGATGTGCTCCCCTCCCTTTCAGTGGTGTAATAAACACTTTGCAACCCGGTTACCTCTGAAGGAGAGCTGCTCTGATAACACAGTCTATGAAGTGTCTAACATAGAAGCCTTTGTATTAGGGAAATTATGGTAAAGACTTTCTCAGCTGTGCCTGGCTCTGATAGACTGTGAGCAAACAGACTAGACTGGTGCTTTGCCTTGTGCTCTGGATCCCCCTGCCCCAGCCCCTGGGTCAATAGTAATAGCCAGTGCAAAGGACAAAGGCAGCCAAAAGGGCATTCAGTTGCCAGAGCCTCTAAAGGGGAAAGCAGAGAAGCAACCACAGGAACCTCCTTTGTTCTCAGCCACATTGCACAAGTCGTCGCTTTCTGCAACAAGGCGAGTGAAGGGGAATGAACCTGGGCGTACGGTTCAGAGTCCTCGCTGCTGGCAATGTGCTGCCTCCTGCGAGTCATCAGGGATTTGCAGGTAAACAGCGGATTCAGTGGAGACTGAAAAGTGCTGGAGTGAGTAGGACAGCAGGTTTCGGGAAGGCTGAAGATCAGAATGAGGGAAATGGTAGGAGTTTGGGGGGCAGCAAAAATGAGTAGATTGGCAAAGTTCAGAAGTGACTACAGGAGACTGGTGTTTTGACCTTAGAGGCCGAAGGGAGAAGGTAGAGTTCAGATAGGACTTGGGGAGGGTGGCAGGTGAGACTGCGGAGCATGGAGGACTGTGGGGAGTGTGGAGCGGAGAGTTGGTGGGTGTTAGATCATTGTCAGTGATGTGCTATGCATGGGAGAGGGTTTTAACTCAGTAGCCCAGTGATTTTCAAGCAAGGTGCCTTGGTACTCTGGTGTGCCTTGAGATCCTCTCAAGGGTGCTGCAGGGTCCCACACAACACTGGCACTCTTAGGTGTCCAAATATGGTCTGCAAGAGAAACCCGGAGGTTTCTAATAGGAATCCACAGTGTTAAAAATATTCTGACCTGTTGTGGTCTTTCTGAGTTCTTTGCAACATAAAAACTTGTATTATTGGTCTGTAGTAAAAAATCAGGTGAAAGCTAAAACCTGACCTTTTCTGAGAGGTGCTGTGAGTCTAACGAGGGGTTCCTTGAATCTAAAAAGGTTGAGAACCACTGCTGTAACCCTACCTGATTATCTGAAGGCTCTTGGCCTAAGACATGAGCTCCATGAGGGTTTCTAGTGGTCCATAAGTTACTAAGTGTGCATGGAATATGGTGCCTCAAGGAAATGTCCACTTTGTACAAAAAGTGCCCCTGGTGGGCTTTGTTCATCTGAAGGTGCCTTTTTTTTTTAATGCTGTGTACAGGTGAAGTTACACCTACATCCATAATGCTTAATCAGTGCACGGAGCGGACTGTGTTTTCTCCGTTTTTCTGGAGAGATTCCATCTAATTGGGCCAAACCTCTCCAGTGAGTAGACTGTTGTCACCTGGCCCAGACCGTGGTATCTTTTGTTTCAGCATGCAGGAGTCTCTGGATATGCACTCAGGGAGATCATCACAGTAGGGTGCTGTCCAGAAATGACCCTGTGCCTTCCTTGGGATTTGGCTTCACCCTCACAAATGGACATTCACAGCAGAGGGGAGTTCTGGCATGGGCTGGAGAGAAGATGGCCAGTGCTTCCAGGGTGAGGTATGGCTGATCTCTCATTTCATACTGCTCACTGTCCCTCTGCCACACAATCCTGACACAAATTCCCCACAAACCAGCGTCCCATTATCTCAGGGGCATATGCAGCTTTCTCAGTGTCTCAGAAATACCCACCCCCAGGAGGTTGAGACTTTTGTCATCAGACATTTCGGATACCACAAAATATGTTACAGCGTGGTGCTTGGAACAGGAAGCACCCATCATCTAAATACACAGGCTGCCAGGCTCGGTGAGGCATGGGACCTGCTACCTCAGGCATTTGGGGAGACTGTATGAAACAGAAAACAGGTTTATGGAGAGAAATAATGACTACTGCCAGGGTCTGGACACTGGTTTTAGCAGCTCAACGATCAAACAAGCATGGGTTTGGCAATATAAAAATAGATCATGAAGGCAACATTCAGCAGTATTGTGGCCTGCTAACACTGCCGTGAGTCATAAATCCCAGCAGCTTCCCCTTGGCTCTGTTCTCATTCCTAGATTTTCTCTGGATCAGCAGTATCATCCTGCACAAACAAATGCTACTTATATAATATGAGGAGATTATAAATTCTTTCATTCCCTTCCACACATAAGGCTGAGCAGTAATGGTGCTTGTCATGTGCACACTGTGACCCTCGCAAGAGGCAGCCCTTGAGAGGAATCTAAAAGGGTCAAGGGTTTCCTTCAGGCCACAGTGGTAGTTCCTGCAGTTCCTAGACTGGACAACAGCTGTACACATCACAGCAGTATGTAACACAGTCAGGTGCTTCTTATGAGCTGTGACACAAAAAAGGTTTCCAATCTGTGTCCAACCAGAGGCTTTGTATGCTGATTTGGAGATTCAAAGTTTTCTTAATGCCTGTGCCTTCTCTATAATTCACCCGAATACCTGCACTGGGCACGTCTACACATGCATTAATGTGCTGTAGGTACTGTGCGTTAAAATTAGTGCCTGCAGTATCAGGTACTAACTGAATGCACAGTAACTGGTGCTACTGTGCAGTAGCATTGGCACACACCTTTTTAGTGACATTAATGTGCAGTAGACTAATTCTACTGCATGTTAGTGCAATAACACGGCTTTTTCTGTGATGCACTAATGCGCAGTAGAATTAGTCTACTGCACATTTAGCATCTCGTGTAGACATGCCCACAAAGACATAGTGTGAGGCTTAACAACCGTTCAGTGCCTTAAGGTCCTCAGGTAGAAGGGCGTGGATGTGCTCCTGACAACTTAAGCTAAGTTTTCTACCTTGGGTTACTCAAGAAAAACACACACATCTGTAGTTTAGAAGATCAGCCTTGGGCTTTCTCCAGAACTCTTGAGATTACAATCCTCAGCCCTTTTGTGATCTGCTGTATTTCTTTCTCTGCCCCTTGCAGGATCCCAGCAGTAAGACCTGTCTCCTTATCTGCTACGGCCAGAGGCATCTCTGGAATTAGTGGAGGGGGTGATGACAGCAGGAAGCGGCAGCTCACCATACAGAATGTGGCACAATTAATTCAGAAGAAAGAGTGCAGCAGGGTGGTGGTGATGGCTGGAGCTGGGATCAGTACCCCCAGTGGCATCCCAGATTTCAGGTAACACCTTGTCCCTCTTGCACGTGCTTATCTGGGCCATGCTAGAGATGGGATTTCTAATCTCCCAAACCCAGGTAACACCTGGAGCCTACCTCTCCACACCCCTCTGCTTCTCATAGGTGCTAGCTTGTGTCAGCCTAGAATTAGCTGCAGCATCTCCCAGCTACAGACAAAATCCCTGCTTCTCTTTACTCTCTGGCCAGCTTGGACAATGCCAGAGCAGAGATTAGCACATCTATCAGCAACCTGGGCTCCAGTGCAGAACCTCAGGTCATTAGAGCTCTTCTCATTGCTTCATCCCTTGCTGTATCCTCCCTGGCTCTTCCAGAAATCAGTCTAATCTTGGCATAAGCTAGTTGCTCCAGTGAGAACAGAGGCCACTCTGCTATTCCAGGACCTTTGGTTCACAGTGAACCAGCTGGGGCCCTCACCACCATTCACAGACTCTTAACATGCCTCCATGCCAGGAGACGGGAGAGGGTGGCGGAAAGCCAGATATGCCAATTTAACATTACCCATTCCTTTATATATAATGGCAATTTGAGATTGCTTTGCTCTGCTTGATTAGCACAAAGCATCTAGGTAGGGATCACAAGGTTGGCCAGACTCCCTCTGTCATGTCCCATGTTCTCAGGGTACATGTATTTCAGAAACCTCTGCGATAGGTTTGCCTTCCTGTGGTTTTTTGACTGCCAAGCCACATTTCTCCCCTCTGCAGGTCTCCTGGGAGTGGCCTGTACAGTAACCTCCAGCAGTACAACATTCCCTACCCAGAAGCCATCTTTGAACTCAGTTATTTCTTCCACAATCCTAAACCCTTTTTCACTTTGGCCAAGGAGCTGTACCCTGGTAATTATAAGCCCAACTATGCCCATTACTTCCTGCGACTCCTGCATGACAAAGACCTCCTTATGCGTCTGTACACCCAGAACATCGATGGGCTAGAGAGGGGTGAGTGTCCCCTTCCAAGGTCTCAGGCAGTGGAAGGAGGCAGGGGTGGCAAATGGCAATGGAACTGTTTGGTGAGTGTAGGGGCTGCCAGTTCAGTTGCCTTTTGCTCAGTTGTTTTTATTTCGGTCTGTGTGTTCCAGTTGCTGGGATCCCTCCCAATAGTCTAGTGGAAGCCCACGGCACCTTTGCCACTGCTACGTGCACTGTCTGTCGTAGAACATATCCAGGTGAAGACTTTAGGGTAAGTGACAGTGACTAGGGCATGTACACAGAGAGACATCAGAAGCAAAGTCAAGGGGTATGAGATGCCACAAGCGAGGCATCACAGAGGCTATAAAGTTCTCAGGTCCAAGAGACAAATTTTTTGTTTCAGGAAGAACACAATTAAGGAGGGAAAGCACTTGGGCTGAATTGCTGCTTCATTGTGATTAAATTGAAACATATATATGAGAGCCAGTAGGGTCCTGTGCTGCCCCATAATACACATTTGTGGTTTTGGATGTTCTCATTTCAGGGGGAAGTGATGGCAGACAAGATCCCTCACTGCCCAGTCTGCACTGGACTCATCAAACCTGACATTGTGTTTTTTGGAGAGGAGCTCCCAAGCCGGTTCTTCCTGCATATGACAGATTTCCCTATGGCAGACCTTCTCTTTGTTATTGGGACATCCCTTGAGGTTTGGCACCTAGAAGACATTGGGATTGTTGGCATGTAGTAGTTCAGGGACTTGGAGAAAGAAAGGGACACAATTCAGGGATTGGGAAAATGAAGCAATGAATTTTGAGGCCATAGTGGGTAAGGAGTGAGGTTTGTGGACCCTTTGAAAAGCACAGATTATATAGAAATGGGTAGATGGAAATGGGAAACTCTGAGGAGTGCTGAGTAAAGGTGGAGGGATGGGCTTCTTGGGTGAAAGAGATTAGTTTTGTGATTACTTGAAGAAGGAACACTAAATAACTAGGGAAGTGGGGCATCTACAAATTATCTACAATGTAGGGAATTACTTTTGTGTGGGAAAATCCTGCACAGTGTATCTAGCTTAAGACATGCAGCATACACATTGATATTAAATGGGGGGAGGGGATGTGTTGCATGGCAAAGTTGGATTGAGAGGTGTGGGCCCTCCAGTGGGGTAAAGCCCCTTGAGGCCCTAAGGTTATTTGCTAAATTGAATACACTCACAGTGGAGCATGAATTCTCCACCTGACCTCTTCTCCTGGGATAAAGATTTTTCTTTGTGCTCTTTTGGGGGTACGGAATTGATTTAGGTGGAGCCATTTGCTAGTCTTGCTGGTGCCGTCCGCAGCTCTGTTCCCCGTGTACTGATCAATCGAGACCTGGTGGGACCATTCGCATATCAGCAACAGTGCAATGACATAGCCCAGCTGGGAGATGTGGTCAGTGGGGTGGAGAAGCTGGTGGAGTTGCTGGGCTGGAAGAAGGAGATGCAGGAATTAATTCAGAGGGAAACACAGAAGGTATGAAGGGCTCACAGAGGCCATATTTGCCTCTTCCCTTTTATTTCTTGTGTCAAAGAAAGTATTCTGGGAGTGAAGAGGTGGTGGGAATTGTAGTAACCAGATATTCACATAGCATTCACCTTCAAGGTTACAGTCCGTGTCCAAAACGGGAGTGGTGAAGGTTACAGAATCAAAATATTGTGGCATTTAACAGCAAACACAGTATTTATATCACACAATAAGGAAACAGCCATGTTGTTAAATATATCTTCATCCTTTACAGAGGAAGAGGGTGTAAACCTAAGTAAGAGATCATTTTATTAGTGAGGACAGATACAGACCTAGGAGGTATAAAGAAAACAGAGAGATGGGGTTAGATAAATTTAAGATAGAACCCTTGCAAGCAAGGGCCTGGTCCATGGGCTGTTTAAGTCAATGGAAATGCTACCAGTTTCCCATGTCTGGAATAATATACAGCTAGGGGTGCAGAGTGTAAAAGTTGTATAGATGCAGGAGGTTCTGACTGACTGGGAAGTGTCAAGCTCAGTTCCCCATGCCAAGAAATAGACTGCTGACATGGGTATAAGACTAGTTCAGTAGAATCTTACAAATCTGCACAGAACACACACAGAGCAGTAGTCAGGAGTACCAGCATTTGTCCAGTATGGCAGTCTTGAAATGCTAATTAAATTTTGATTTTGCAAACCCTTACTTCTTGGAGAAGTCCACTGGATAGATGATCCTTTGAGATCTTCAGCAAGTTCATAGTTAAGATTTAATTTTCATATTACCATTAATTATATACCATTATTTAGTAGCAGTTTACATTAGCCCTCATGTGAAGGTTCCGTCGTATGTAGGCTCAGACATTTTTTATTTCTCTCTAAATTTCTAGTGGAGCATTTAACTCCATTTCCTGCTGGTATAGACATGCAGAGCTCTTTTATTTCAGATGCATTTAGTCCACCTTTGTAAGCAGTGAATTTGACAATATTTTAGCAGCCATGAGTTATGAGAAGAAATCATGTAGTATGTTACGTCTGAGATCCCATTTTAGCTGTTTTGTTTATCTTTCATCAGTTTACTGTCATGAGTATGTATAAGGGATTCAGAGTCACTTTTCAGGTATTTCTCTTTAAGCTATTTTAGGGTTACATGAGAGTTATTGTAATGCACTGTTGAAAGCCATACAAATCTGGTTAATCGTGAAACATGTCCTCTTCCTCCTCACTATGAGGTTTTGGGTGAGCGAATGTCACCAGCCAAGCTGATGAACACTGGACCGTATCTGTCTGAGCCACCCTGACCAGCAATATATGTTCTATCTATTTTTAGCTGGATGCCAAAGACAGTTAGGATGGCTGGCTGAACACAGTTGGAAAATGATCTGCACCTTGAAAATGGGTAAGTTGTAATTCCCAGCGCAGAAAGGGAGTGACAACAGAAGACAACTGTGCAAGATGCTGTCTATTTTTACAGTATCAAATACTACTTATAACTAAGAACTTGGTCTGCAGGAATCTCTTTGGTAGTGTCTGACTGCCTGTAAAACAATACAGTAAGGACCATTGCACAAGCTGCCTAGGAAGCAAAGATCAAACAGGGCATGGGCTGGTTGTGCCAAGAGATGACTTTCTCAGTCGGATATCTGAACGAGACATATGGCCACTGAACTCCATTATTTCTATTCTTTCTTGTCCAGACCATAAATCTGGAGATGACTCTTCTTCCTTCAGTTAATTTGTCCTTTGCTTCTGTCACTTAGTTTATACACCACTGATAGGCTTTATCATCCAGCTCTGTGAAGATCACTATTAGATTTAAGCCAGCCTTGTTTCCCTCCCACAACACACATGCCAGGTGTTCTGGACAAAATTTGCATGAGTGACACTTGATTTTGGGAGCACCAGTTCCTGGACTGGTACCCCAAAAGACCCTCATGGAATTTTCAAATGGTGCATGTTTGCAAAATCAGGTGTGTTGAAATGCCTCAAGTTGGGTACCTAGCAACAGACACTGAAAATCACTTTCAAGTGGGTTGGTTAGTCTCCCTCCACTGCTGCTGGTGTAAGGTCTCAGTTCCAAAAGCCTCAGCTGGAACAGATAGACATTTGGCTCCCTGAACCACCTATTTGAGAGGGTGCAATGAGGCTCAGATGCTTTTTTTTTAAATGATGATTTTTGTTTTTGTTGCAGATTTGTACCAGTTGTTATTTGGGGGAAATCGCTGCTAATCGGGAGGTGAAAGGTGTTGACGTGCCTAGAGATGGTTCCTCAAACAGCCATGCCTGTTGAGCAGGGCTGGTTTAAGCTGCTGTTTCAATTTGAATAGAATGTTGTTTTATATTTCTACTGAATAATATTTAATAAAAAGTGCTTATGTTTTTGCTGATGTCAGTCCATTGCATTTCTATGTGTAGTTCACACATTTCCTAGTGTTAATTGTTTTCATCTCATTTCCCCAACTCTTTCCATCTGTTCTTTTGTTACCCATCTTTGCTCTTTTATTTATCTAATAGTGTTCCATCTTTTAATTGCTGGCTGGATTTCCTGTACGTTACAACTTGGAGGATACTCCCAACATGTGGAGCAAGAGAGGCTTGCCTACCTATTCCCCTTTCCCAGAGAAAAGAACTATTGATTATGACACTAGGGTGATTACCTCCCCTTTCTAAAAGTTCATGAAATATTTACTTGCAGATCACAGATGGATGTAACAATGGAGTCTCTTCCCCCCTTCACTCCCCCCCATGTGATAGTGATATTATTGCAAGTGAGTCCAATCCTGACATGGGATTTGAAATATGGCTGGGAGAATGTCTCTCTAATTAGTCCACCTATTACAATACTACCTCAGTTGAAATTAGGTCTACAGAATCAGAGCAAAGATTAAATGCAAAACACTTCACACAAGGTTCAGGTTATGGTGGCCCACTGAATACACAGAAGTCAAGGAATTTAGATGCAAGATTTCTATAGTTACTATAAAATTGCCTCTTTGTATACTTGTAACACTTCCTTTTATGCTCACCTTCATGCCTTACATATAGAGGAGCAGTATGGCTCAGTTAATATGCTCTATGCATGCTAGTTTTGAATTATCTTTTTTGATGGTAGAAGCTTTGAGCCCAGTCCTCAGCTAATGTAAATCAACCCAGCAGCACCATTGACTTGTCAATTTACATCTGCTGTGAATCTGGCTCTTCCTAGCCTGACAGTGACATAACTGAGTATTTACGACTGAACTTCCTGGCATTTGTAAAAAATAAAGAAGTGGTCTGATTGATCTCACATTCAAATGAACAGACTTGTTTGTCTGAATGTGTGATTCAAATACTTTGGAATGCTCCTACATGCATATGGGACCATCAATTTCAAATGAATTTGAATGTGCAGCTCAAATAAAAGCTGAAGTGTTTATTTTGTTTCGCAAAACATCAGATATTTAGCATGCTTGGAGATTTGCTGATTTGTATGTACATGGCTAAAATTTTACTATTTAACAACACATATCAATTCCAAATCATACACATCAAAGATGTCTTTGAAGACTTCAGCCCTGATCCTGCAAACACTTATGCTCATACTTAGAACAAGCAGGTAAACCCTACGGCTATCAACGGATCACGCACCTGTTTCAAGTTAGGCACATGCATTGGGGTTTGTTGGATTAAAGTCTAAATTGATTATAAGATGGAGTCTTAAGCATGAATGGCTGGAGGGATCTAACCACAAGGAAATATTAACAACACGATAAATAGTAAAATGCACCATGTTTTTTCATGATTAAAAACAATGGGGCCAGGTGCCATTCCACCTGTCAGGCATCCAAGTGTGATCCTATGCCACCCTGACATGAAAATCTCTTAGTGCATCTATTATTGTAACATGTCATCATCTGGCTTGATAAGAGTGGAATAAGATTGCCCTTAAGTACCTTAAGTCTATTTATGTGCCTAATAGGTAGAATAGAATCTGGTTTAATATTTCTGTGAAATAAGTGTTGCAAAGGCCAGAAGTTTGCACATACATGAAAACTTCCTATTATTATTTTGCTAGCTTCTTTCAAAGAAATAAAGAGCAGTTGGCTTAGAAATTCCAAAATTATTTATCCCATTCTGTCTATGGGGGTGGGAAGGGAAGTAATAGGTGTCTATTTATAAAATTTAGTGGGTTAATTCCAAGTTATTCAATTTGTATCCCTTTGAGAACTTGGATTAAAAAAAAAATCTTCATCAATGAAGAACTTTGTGGAGAATACAAAAGTATTATTTTCATAAAAGGGGGAAAATTAGAAATCTCTGCCTTTTTCCCCCTGCAGTAAAGATTATCTTTAATATGTAAGCTGGTTGCTAAACATTTTAATAAGTCTCAGCCATTTTCTCAATAACACTTCTGGCCACTAGGGTTTCCACCATTTCTTGACTTCCTGAACCTTCACCTTTGAACTACAAGCCACAAAGCCCAACTCACCTTGTCCAACTTCTCTATACAGAATAGAAACATCACTGCATTTTATCTTTTCACTTTTGGTGTGGGTCAGAGCCCCAACTACCTGCACAACCATGTAAGCATTGAGATTTATACAGTGGGAATAGACTAATTCTCAGAATAGCTATGACCTCTTCCACAGAAAGGAGAAACTGGAACTGACATGGCCACGGCATTGTGTTGTTTTCAGTATTAATAATTGCAAACATTTGAAAAATAGCCAAAAATCATTTTATGGTCCTACAAATTCTAGTACACATTATGAGGTACAATGTGGCAGAGCTAAGGTGATTTGGGGAATGAGGTTCCTGAAGCTAAGATGCTTTATTTCAAATTACACCATTCAATTAAGCTTTTTTGTTCTTATTGTCATTTAAGGTCTAGTAATAGCTTCAGCTTTAACACTTTTTGGTATAGTACTTTATTTTGGAATAAACTTTAAACTTCTCAGGAACACTGACTGCCTTTTCATTTGCTTCAAGTTGCGACACTCAGATGAATCAACCTTCCCACAAATGAGTACATTGATTTCTTATTCTAGTGGAATTCTTCCATTTTTATTTATGCTAATAAGTTTCAAAATGTTTGGTACACAAGACAAACCAGAGGATTGTTTTCCTTTGTGAGAACAGAGAAGTCTAAGCTTTAGTGATGGATGGACTTTGATACCAGCCTGTGAGTTCAAAGAGCTATGGATAGGTGGAAGCTGAAGCAAATGGTTCAGAAGGCAACTAAGTGTGGGATGTGGTCTCCCACTCAGAAAGAGCTAAGGGAGGGGTTAATCCAGGAAACTACTATCTGGTGGTAACAGGAGCACTACACAGTGCCATGGACTAAAAATCAGAGCATTTCTGGCAAAGAGTCATCTGCAGATGTCAGCCCTGCAATCAGTGTGAGCACTGAAAGCTTCAGATAAGATCTGTATTAATACAATATAATATGCTTCCACACCAAATGTGCATGTGTACCCTAACAGGAGCTCCAACACACACATCTAAATATCACATGTCCCTACCAGGTCATTTCATCAGACACCAGTCACTGGCACATGTTCTGTGCCCACACACACATTACATCCATATGTTTACGCTTCACACATGGCTCTATCTGTACATGCACAATGGCACTCACTCCACACGCACAGAGAGACATCCTCACCAGGCACACACACTTCTGTACACTATACGTCTCAGTCATGCTCTCTGCTTGTGCACACATGTTCACAGACACCTAGTTTTTCCCCAATTCCAACCTATGTTCTCAGACAGGCCCTTCCACGTTCACGCTGCATGTGTCTTGCTTACATGCAAACAGTGCTCCCACTTGTCACCACACAGAGATGCACGCAAAGTCATATACCCAACCCAAGTGTCAGTACAGACAATGCTTCACATGCTACTGAACCCCGTGGATGTGATAAGATATCTCCTCCCCTCCCAAAAATTCTCTTATAAAAAGTCCTAGTGGAAAATCCTAGGAGTGGGCTGGAGCATGATATCCTTATGGGCATAAAAGGGAGAGAAACCAGGATGGAACCAAGCTGTGGGGAGCTCTTTGGGGAAGAAGAGGTGGCTGCAGGACTAGGGAGGGGATAGTTATTACCCTCCCAGGGCAGTGGGGAGGCAGCCCCGATTCAGATCCCATGGGTTGTGTCCCTTGCCCGGTGCCAAATCACCAAATGCAGCACCAGTTCTGGATGGAGAGTGGAGGGTCCACAGTCCTGGGGGGAGACGGATAGGTCCGGATCAGTCTAGCCCCCGGTCAGAGTCAGATGACGACCTCTCCTCAGCCATCTCATGCACAACATTCTCCAGAGGGGTAAGGTTGCCACTTGGACTAATCCCCATCGGCTGGATGACCTGCTGTCTGCAATCAAAGGGGACAACAGCAGAGCAATTTTGATGAAAGTAGTTCTGATGAAGAATCACACTAATGCATTGGTCCCAGATCCACCCTTGTTACTAAGCATCTATGTCCATCCCCTGAGAGACCCATGAAGAGCTCCACGTGAGGGCCTATAAGTATGTGGGAGAACCAGTGAGTTCTAAGCTGCCACAGCATCAGAGACTTATGGGATCTCTCAAGACCTACATGACATCCAGGAAGAAGGCTGTTTGACACCAATGAAGCAGATGACCCTTGGAACAAGCTTGTTAAAAGAACAAAGGTCAGCCTGATTTTCAGAAATGCTGAGCACCCAGAACTCTTATAGAAACCTCTGAACACTCAAGGCTTCCAGTTTCAAAGCTTTTAATGGCAGCAGGAAAAAAAAAAACCCAGCTCACCAAACAATCTAATCCAAGGACGGAACTGGCTCTGCTTCTAAAGAAATTTATTGAACACAGCTCCTGAGGCACTGAACAGTGGTGGCTCTACAGTTCCAACAACACCATAATTAGCATTGCAGGCCCCAGGAACAGCCACTCTAAGATCCTGCTGCACTGGTCTGGGTGTAGAATACCTCAGAGGCCCTGGTACCATCCTAACTAGCCAGTTGCAGTGTAATGTTAGCAGCACCAGGCTGGATCTCTCTCTCTCTCTCTCTCTCTCTCTCTCACACACACACACACACACACACACACACACACACACACACACACACACACACACACACACAGGAAAAACGTGGCACCTGCATTAACTGCTAATCTGCATCTGCCCTATTGCCCTTCTTCTTCGTCTTGGGGTCTTTTGAACTCACTAGGTAAATCCTGGATTCCTGTCTACAGGGTCCATGAATAATGGATGAGCTACTACTGGAGAAGGCTCTCCTGCAGGGAAGGAAAAAATCAGTAGCACTGGCTGCCATTTGTCTCTGAAACACTATTTCCTACCAGCAGCTACCCAGGGGCAGTGCTGCCAGCTGCTACAGAGCTTCCAAGCTGAACTCGAGTGAGGTGACTGTACTCAGATGCACTTGGTAATGGAGAGTACATCTGTGAGGTGGCCTACACTGAGCTGGCATTCTCCTCCTGAAGGCCTACAAGTAGGTATGCAACCATATGAGCTCTGATCTGCTATAGCATCAAAAACCTATGGGTTCTCTCAAATCCCACTGCATCCTCATGCTAGGGGAATACACACACATTTCTATTACCTGGACAGCTTGTCAAACATGTTAACCAGCTTCATGGCTTCATACTCCTTCTGCTCCTCAGTCATCCCTTCCATGGGGTTGGGGAGTTTTTCTTCCACACGTCCTGTCACTGGGTTAATGCTGCCCACATTCATGAATGGGAGGAGAGAGAGAGAGAGAGAGAGAGACAAACAGGCTCATTAAAAAGTGGGTTTTTCCTATAACTATGTGAAGAGTTCAATGGCAGGGGGACACTCTCTCTTAGCTGATGACTGCTAGTGGTATCACAGGAGTACAGATGTAGTGCACCAGGGGCTCTTATCCCTGCCCCCTTGTGTCACCCCCAACTCTCTCTACAAGTGACTCCCACTTCTCTAGCCACTGGGGTTGGAGCATGCCCTGCCCTGCCCACTTCAATCCAAAGATTTCAATCCAAGGGGAGAAAAGAAAATCTTACCACTGTGCTCCTCCCAATTAAAAAATTTACAAAAAATCCATAAATATAGCCTAAAAAGGCACTGAATGGCACAGTGGAATGGACAGACCAATGGCCCAACCAAAGAAGACAAATTCTGTGTTGGTTCAGAGCTCAGCACAGACTGGGGAGTACCATAACTCAGTGAGGAAACACAGGAACGGGTTCTCATCAGCTGAGCACAGGGACACAGCAGCTGGAGGTGGAGGCATTGCACTGGAACTCACTCTACAAGAACTGCTCACACCACTTACTAGAGGGTGCCTTCCCCTTTGCCCAACCTTAGCTGTACATGGAAAGAGCCTATTTTGCTCTTGACAGCATATCTTGCTGCCAACAATAGATTTAATAGATTTCATAGATGTTAGGGCTGGAAGGGACCTTGAAGATCATCAAGCCCACCCCCCTGCCCCAGGGGCAGAAGCCAGCTGGGGTCAAAGGATCCCAGCAAGATAAGCATCCAAACGTTTCTTGAATGAGTCCAGAGTAGGTGCCTGCACCACTTCTGGAGGGAGTCTATTCCAGGTCTTGGGGGTTTGGACAGTAAAGACATTTTTCCTTATGTTCAACCTAAAACAGTCTTGCAGGAGTTTATGACCATTGGTCCTTGTTATCCCTTGGGGCGCTCTGGTGAACAGACGTTCCCCCAGATCCTGATGTACACCCCTTATGTACTTATAGACAGCCACCAGGTCCCCCCAGAGCCTGCACTTTTCTAGCCTGAAGAGTCTCATGGCTCTCAGCCTCTCTTCATAAGGCCTATTAATAGGACATATCTGTTGGTCTACAGCCAGGGCACATGAGCAGCTCATCTAGAAGATGAAGACTTTCTATCTGAAGGGTGGGCAGTGGCTGTGGAGCAGGAAGTTGGTAACCACTGGATCAGGCAAGCAGTAAAATGGGGTTGGGGAGGAGAAAGTAGGCAACATGTCCTGAGTGGTTTAGGGAGATAAATGGAAAGCAAGTGAGGAAATGTACAGAACAATGAATAGAGAAAGGGTATGGGGGACAGTATAGGCTGGTAACAGAAAAAGGGTTCTGTACTTGGGCTTAGCCTCCTTGTATTCTTCTGTATCAGTGTCTTCATCCTCAGAATATTCTCCCTCTTCCCGGCCCCCTGCCATGAGGCCTCGTGCTGCCAGGAGCCCTGCTGCATTTCCATACCCTGTGTACTTCACAAACCGTGACACTGACAAGGGAGAGAGACAGAAAACTCAGTGCATTGCCCCACCCCAGTACCAGCTACCCAGCCAGAGAAGAGACTCATAGCGTCAGGAGGCAAATGAGAGAACCCTATCAAACAAACTTGATGCAGCAGCCAACATGGATGTCCACAGGATGTGCCTTCACATGGAAAAGGCAGGAGGGGAAACAAAGGCTATGGCACACACCCTGCTCCCAAGCTGTGAAACAATACATTCAACGCAAGGTTTTTATCCCCTGGAAAGAATCCCCAAAATGGCAACTGTGCCCCTGGGCTCTGGAATGGAAAGCAGAGGGAAAAGCAGAGACCAGTGTTATTACACAGCAACTATGCTGGTCCTGAGGCATGGAGCACCTGCTGGCAACAGGTCTGAATGATACCCACTATCTGTGGGGCAAGAAGGACTCAACCCTTGGCAGCAGATCACCAATCACTGGCACCACTCCTCCAGAAGCTGCATTCAAGAGATGGGAAAGCTAATCATCCTTCCCATGGTGCACTTGCCTCCGCCCTCCCATAGCCACCCACTGCCTGTTTGGCAGATTTGAAGACTATCAAAGGATTTCCCACAGCCAAAGAAAGCACAATGTGCTGTGAGCTCTACACAGCAGCTTCTACCAGAATGTGGATCCCATGTCCAGCTTCTCCGGCACTGAGAACCTTGGAGATGCCACCCAGCCCCGAGGTGTCTCCTCACTCACCACTCTCCTTGCAGAGTACAAAGAGGAACTCTGCCGCACAGTGCTTTACATCAGTGTCAATGTGAGTCATCAGGCGCACAAGCTTGTTCCGCAGCAAGTTCCCCACCTCAGGGCGGTTCTTCACATCCCGGAGAGGAGGCAGCACCTGCAAACCACAGTGAGAGGGATCAAAACAGAACAGCCTGGGGTTTTCTGCAGTGTCTTGCACTAGGGTGTCTGCATGGATTCTATCAACCAAGTAATTGAATAAGTTTAGGGGAAAGCAGGAACTGTGCAGACAAAATATAGCAGGGGTTACAGGCCTCACAGACTTGGAGGTCAGAACTTATTATATGACGAGAGAGGGGATATCTGTTTGTAGCTTTATGGTATTCACAGAAGATCCATAGCGTCTCCTCTCACCTGAGAAGACTCAGAAATTAACGTCATTTGGATTCTACCTAAGCCAGCAGGATACCTTCGCTTTGAGGAACTTCCTTGTCTGGCGGTGGGCACGGGCACTCTCAGTCAGCAGGTTCAGCACAGGGGTCAGACTTTCCTTCAGCTTATGGCCCTAGGAAAAAGAGCCCAAAACAAACAGTAAGTGTAGGTAGTTCAGTTCCTAATACAGGCAGATCGCAACAGTGTGGAGCCAAATAGAAGGAGTCATGGGCTAAGAAAGATTCCAGTACTCTGCAACAGCAGCTTCCCCACTGTGAGGCATAATGCAGTCAAATTAACGAAGCCCTTGGAGTGACTTTGGAGAATGAAAGCAACAGCCACCTTGATGAGTTTTATTTCTGGCTTCAAAAGACACTTAGACCAAGCTGCTGGAAAAGAAGTTCCATGATTTTGAAGAGGAATTTGGCTGTTATTTCCCCCATTTAGGCTCAAAGCCTGCAAAAACTTCAGCCCTCTATGTCTAAATGAGAACAGTGACCATTTGACCCTAAGTTAGACACTGCAAAGAAACAGGTCAACCACACCAGCTAACCTTGTATCCACAAAGTTGTCCAATTCATCAGACTATTAGCTAGTTATAGTTCTTCCTATTCCTTGATAACCAGCCTTGCACTCAACCACCAGTTAACCAACTCCCAAGCAGTCAGTGGTTACCACCCAATACAACTATTACATCTTTATCAACAAATAAATCATCTTACCATTCCACCAACCAATCATCTTCTAGGCAATTAATTAACCTTTTATCAAATTGCTAAGCTACCAGGCACTGCTTGGCCTCTCTTGGGAAAATATCTACCTCTTCCATTAGAGGAATATCTTCAAACAACTCAGGGAAATTTCAAATCAGCCATTACTTTTGCTGATGCTTTTGTGGTTTCTACATGATGCAGTTTTTATTGTTTCTCTGTTTCATTTTGCCTTTTAAAGGAGAAAGCAGCATATTTATATGTGAGGTAGAGGATCATGTCTGCCATCCAGCAAGTCCAGAAGACTTTCCCCTTTGGCTTTGAACAATCTCCCCACTTACCCTGTCAAGACGTCGTTCAAGGAAATCTAGCAGGACACTGACTGCATCCATGTTGACACCCATGTACTCGAGTGAGCCTGGCCGGACCTTAGGAGTTAGTAGGACATCCAGGCACTTCAGCGGCAAGTTGCCCAACAGGTTAACTGTGTGGCTGAGTGTAAAGAAAAAGAAGCAGCAGATAATCAGGGATTTGCATTAATGCATTTTTTTTAAAAACTGTGCAAAGAACAGGTTCATTTGTTAATTCCTGGGGAGCCTAAGAGTAAGCTCAAAAATGATCTTTTACTGTGACATCCATGTAGACTGTAGCTATAACCACACTAATAAAGGGAGGTACCCACCAAGGTCAAACATGACTTGATATTGGGAGGTCTCAGGCCTATTTCCAAGAAGAACAGTCTATATCCAATGCACAACTATTCTGGACAACAGGATAGAGTCATTTATTTAAAATCCAGACTGTGGACACCTTAATCAAGTTACTGAGCACTCACTCTGGCAAGCAGTCCCATTGACTTTAGTGGGACCACTTGTAGGCATGGCTAATGATATCAGAATCCAACCCTTCATGTGTGCATGGCAGTTTCAACTCTCAGCAAGAAAGATGCATAGGTTCAAGTCTCACACTTGAGACAATGCTCTTCACCTGTGAAATTCCTCTGTCCTATCTTCTCCATCAGCTGAAGTCATCAAGCAGTGACGAAGGAGAGCACCTAGGTGTCTGTACAGAGCAGCATCTTCCTGGCCCCAAAACAGAAAATGACACACCTGATCATGAGAAGGAAACGTGTCTCTGCAGTCCCCAATATCACAAAGTTTGTGACTCTGTCTTTGCTGTTCTGGAACAGTCTTGCATTTCAGCACCCAGAACAAGCCCCATCTTCATTAAATGGAGAAAGAGGAGTAGTGCACTAATCACAGAAATGAACCCAGAATGTTGCTACTGCTTCCTTAACCACTTGCTGATCTTGCTCCTACTCCATATCCTACCTGAATCTTCCTGGGTCCTCCATCACACTGTACAGCTGATAGCAGGTTGGGGAGAAGCCACAGACAGTCCTAAGTCAGCTGCCTGCATCCGCCATCATACTCTTTAGCTGATGCAGAAAGTGGAAAAGGCCATGTTTTACCATTTCTAAAAATGTTGTGAGTTCTCCGCTCTTCTCTAGCTCAAGGTTATAGTTCAAGTCATAGGAACATTTGAAAGAAAATGAAGAGTTTCTAAATGTTCTGAAATCAAAAGTTAACAATACATAGGACAGAGATACCAAAGGTTGCAACATGAAGGGCCCAGGGCACAGTTCTGCTGCTAGGATTCTGTTTAATAGACAGGAGACTGCACCAACATTAGTGTGCAGCAGACAAAGAATGAGAACTGGGAGGTGGAAAAACCACAAATCAAACTGAATCACGGGCAGTGTGAACAGCCTGGGAAACGACCACTAAGAAACTTACCTCATCCACCTCCCTCTTGCTGGAGTCAAATGTGATATTGAAGAGCACCTTGAGGATCTCCATAGCACGCTCTGTCTCCTGGCGAGGCAAGGGTGGAGGAAGGCTCCCCTCAGTAGATACTTCATAAGGGTCCAACCACTTCACCCCTAGTGTCAACTCCAGGGTGTCTGTCATCAGGCTGATTCCCCTGAGCTCCTGGGCTAGCTGTTGCCGGATGTCCACTCTCAGGGCCAGAAGACGCAGATCAAAGAACTTGACTTCATGGGGGAGTTTCTTCTCATTGTAGAGTTTAATGCGCTCAGTCAGGCCTACCACAAGCCAGGCCTCAGCTGTCAGCTCCTGTGCACGACGGCTGCTGAAGACAATATTGCAGAGGCACTTGAGGGCCTCCAGGATGACATCCAGGTCTGGGATCTCCCGAATGACCTCCTCCGAGTAGTCAATACCAGCATGTCTGGCCAGGGTCTTCAGGCCTTCCCTGGTAGTGAAGGGGTCAAGGCAGTGTTTGTCCCGGGAGAGGATGCGGATGCTTTCCAAACATGTGACTTGGCAAGCTGGCTGCAGCTCCCTCTCCAAGAACTTGATCAGCAGCTGTGCCAGTTTCTGTGGAGTGAAAAGGGAAACATGAAAATACAGCAAACGATGCATCAGAGTGCTGGCATTTCAATTGCTCCCAAATGTTGGCATCACATAATGCACTGTGCTGAGCCAGAGATGGCCCTGCCACAAAGACTCAGATTCCAGTGTGATTTTCCAAAGTTCAGGGTCATTTGGCACCACCTTTTGCAGTTGGACCCATTTTGAGGTAATAAAGTATGGGAAGAGGTAATGGGAGCCTCAAAGTCACGGGGAGGAAGATTGTTCTGAGGATGCAGGAAATAGGCTGAACAAACTACGGGATACATAATACAACAATAAGGGATGGGAGAAGGATCTAGCCTGGTGGAAAAGCAAATGGGATACTGTTGAGAAGAAGATTAAAGACCTTAAGCATTTAGACACAGCAGAAATCAACAGTTCACACCAACGAGAGGAAGAGGCATTGACCCAAACTGGTCAGGGGTGTACAATAACATATTTTTAGTGATGGCAATGTTACACCCGCTGAAAAACCACTTCACTGTGGATTAATGACATCTTGCATAACTGTAAATAACTGAACATAAAAGGATAATACATCACACAGCCCTGCAAAGTCATTTTCAATTACAGCCAAATCTGGTCAATTCATCGCTCCGAGAAGACTTGTAATGATGACTAATTATCCACGAGTGACCAATTTTTCATTAATTAGTCAATCTTCAACTTTTTATGAGACATATTTTTCAGGCTATATTAAGACACAATACAGAATGATTTTGACGCCTGTAACTGAAGTCAAATGTATTTAAAAAAATTCCAAGGGCAGACTGTACACACTGGATCACTTAATGACAGTAATATTAGGCAAAACCATTGACCCTTGTAGACCTTGATGTACACGTGAGAGGTCACCAGGACCTTCGAGACATACCTAAGCAGAAGAATGGAGGCTGCCCAGACCTTCCATCCTCTCTTTAGACCACTGAGACAGTATGCAAAGGCTAGACCAAGTCCAGACATTTGGTGCCTTGATGACTGCACCTGTGTGTGTGTCCAGGAATCGAACCTGGGTCTCTCACATGACAGACAAGGATTCTATCACTCACGCACAATGGCAGGTAATCTGTGAGGACAGCTGTTGTTAATGTACGATTTCCTACTACAAAAATTTGGCACGCTCGCTATATAAGAATTACATGATTAAGAAGGAGTAAAACAATCCACCAAAGATTATTTCTTTGTTCATTTACATGCATTTATCAAAATAAAAAATAGTTATGCAACATGGCTGATTGTCTATGTTTTGTGGGCTATGAAAAGCTGGGGTGCATCTAATGCTTAGCAAACATCAGCTGGCTCGATGAGCGCTATGGAGGGCAGAGGTTGGTACCAAATTAATTATCAGGAACAAATTCCATTTTGATTTAGTATGTATGTACATCTGGAAATGACTTTAACAGATAATAAGTTAGCCAAAGCATTTTGTGTACATATCAATGTGACTCCAGCAAGCATTCAATACACTGATTAATAAGAACATAGTGATGCATTGTTCTCGTGTCTAATAAATCAGTTTTCACCATAGACACGATAGCACTAGCCATTGTTTTGTACATCCCGTGTAAGTAATCATGTCATGGTAATATTAGACCTTTCTATAGGTCTAAACCCATGTTTAGAAGTGAGGGTGAAATGGCCATTTATCACAACTATGTCTTTGGAGACAGCAAAACATAAATCAATGAGGTCTTGTAATCCCCAGGCCTTTCTAGGCATGATCCAACGTGAACTAAATGAGGAGGGGTCCTTGAAGACATAACTATTACAAATATTTTATAAAAGTTGTATTGTAATACCCAAGCTCTGCAGTCAAACTCCTTCAGCCACCCAAGAAGGAGGATCTGTTGACATTATAGTACAATCCAGTTTCTTGAAGTACTGGAGTGATCAATAATTTTTATGCAAGGCAAGGATTTTTTGGGGGTGATATCTTTTATTGGACCAACTATCACCCAAAGAAATTCTTGCCTCTCACATAATTCCTGGCTACAGCATCACTTTAACATTACAATGATTTTTAATTATATAAAAAACACTTTGCATAAAAACACGCATAAGGGCAATATGTATAGCAAGCAGAAGCTCCACAAAGGCATAGTGGCTCACTCTATAAAGTCTCTATTGGATCCTAATCTCATTTTGACCTTTTGTAAGGGAGACAGGTGTGCTGACAGGCCTGCTTTGTCCCATCAAGTTTTTTTTTTGAATGCTCTTTGCATTAAGATTCTTTAGCCTTTACTGCTACAAAACCCAAGGCCATCTACCATGTCTCTTACAGTATCCTTCTTGAAAATCTACTGGAGCACTTTTAAGTTAAATACACAGGACTTTCCCAGTGGCCAAGGGGGCATAATCATTTCTTACAAAAGGACATTTCTTCACTGCAGATGAAGACTTAAGTGTGAGTAGGTAGATGAAGGATATTTCCTAGCTACATGGATGGTGGTATTTGTGTTTTCTGTGGTTATCTTACCATGTTTCTGATACCGCAGGCTATTCACATCCAGCATAACTTCACTGAGTTCAGCAGAATTAAAGAGGAGGTGAATTGGGTCTTGTGTTAGGTATAGGCAGTATAGGGTATGTCTGTTTAGAGGATGCTTGTGTGTAGCCATGTTTAAGTGCATGCACATAATAAGCCGTTGCCAATCTACAGGGCTGGTGACAGGAGTGTGGTTGTTCATTATGGGTTCAAACCCAGAGAAGGTGTTGCAGGCAATGAGACAGGGGCTTTCTATTCCAGTGCCCACAGTAGGAAGCAGTATAAAACAGTGATTGCCTCAAATTATCAGGAATTATAGAAAGCTCATCAAGTAGTGTTGAGGAGTAATTGAGCCTGGACCCTGGCAGAGATGAGATCATGTTTAACAGTATTCTGCCTCTAGACAAGGAACGGGCACTGCTGACAAGACAGTGAGGAACCACTCCAGACACGCTATCACTGGCTGGATCTTATCCATCCCTGATGGATGCCTGAAGAGTTTGTGTCTTTTTTGTACTTCAGCAACATATGCATGTCTAGCCATACTGATAATGCCTCTCTGAAGAGAAACAAAGGTCAGGCTGTTTCCATGCACAACCAGGTACTTGGTGAGCATGTCTATCTGCACACATCCATACAGTATGTCTGCTTAGGTGGCAGGAATGTCTCCCTTTAGATGAATGCATCTCTCTTGCAAAGTGAGGCAGGCATTATAGATGTGAAAGGATCAAAGTACCACTGATTATAGGGCTTACTGTAGCTCAGTGTAATTGGCTTAGCTCAGCCTCATCATGGATAGTTCATCATAATAAGGAGCCAAGAACAGGAACAAGAGAACCGTTAATTTAATTCCTTAACAAGAGCCCTGCTGCTCACAAACAGCTCAAAATATAAAACAACAAGTTTCCTCATCCTTACCTTTTATAGAGAGAGGGAAGCTAAGGCACAGAAATTAAGGTTGAGGACTCTGAGCACCTCAGACGCCCACCCTGAGATACTAAGGGTCCTGACTTTCAGCTCTCTATTGCCCAAGGAAATGCAGGGGCATGACAGGTGTCTCAATGAGGCTCCCCAAATCAGTGCTGTTTCTGAAATTGTTGGCCTGAGTGACAGGCCTGAGTTCACACACAAAATCAGAGGCAGAGCAGAGCTCAGATCCCACGTCCCAGTCCAGTGCTTTAATCTGAAACTTGGTCTGGCTCACACAACAAAGCATTTTCTACCAGCTCATACTTTGCAGCAGTCCATGTCACAGATTCATAATAAATTAACATGCACTGGGAGAATTCTCAAGTTCTATTAATTGTTCTTCGTGGGATGAGAGTTACCACATAACATATCCTTGGTACAAACCTCCACCACCAATGAACCCAAAGGAAACAGGTGCACTTCGTTACGTGGCAACAGACATTTTTACTAAAATATCATATAATGACAGGTAAATTCCAGCAATCAGCACCCAGACCTACTTCCTAACCTAGTACTGCTCCACATGTGACCCAGTGGAAAAGCATTACCTTTTCTCTTTGGCTAGGGACAGACATTCAAAAAGCCTGAGCCTGAATTGATTCAATCTTTGCAGGTTAGTCTAACCTGGCTAGGCTGATCCAGTTTGTAACCATACAGACATCCACTCTGAACTGAAGAAATGTAGGAGTATGCCTACAGTGGCTCAGGCTAGAAGCCGGGGACACTAGAGCAGCCCTCCCTTCCCTTCCGCAATGCTGAATGGAGGGGGGGGCGTGGCCAGGCTCTGGCAGGTCACTCTGATTAGGGAAGGGTTCCCCCCAACACCCGACCAGCGGGAGCCAGCAGGGAGTTGATAACAGAACATTGAGTTACACAGCAGTGAGTTACACAGGGAATTGTTAGCATTTATGAGCGCATCAAACAAAACAAAAGGATCTCTCATTAGTTCAAGCTCTTCTTAAACAACTTTTTCCAAGAAAGGAATGGAGGGACATTACCAGCTGACCTGTTGATTAGCTCCAAAAAGCCCTAAGCAGACACTGTCCTGTCTGCCTTACACAAACACCTCTCAGCATTAGCTAATATACCACATGCTGGCTACAGTCCGTGCTATGGGGGTGGGGAATCCCTGCTTGAGCAGGGAGTGGTGAGGGGAGGTGGAGCAAGGGGAAGCCAGGCAGATGCTGCTGTGCCCGTCTTCTCTGCCAGAGTTCCAGCAGAGAGCCCCACCCAGAGCTGCAAAGCATCTGGGATGCTGGGGGACTCTGGTTTAAGTTAAACCAGGAAGAGGTCTGGGACAGACATTGCATAAACTGGTTTGACTCAGATCAGTTAAGTCTGATACTACATTCAACCAGGTTCATCTGAAAATGGCTGAAACCAGTTTGAAACTGGTTTATGTACACTGAACATCTGTTCTGTTACAGGTGTACAACAGTTTCTGATCACTTAAACCAGTTTGTGTGTAATGTCTGTCCCTAGCCTTTGGGTTTTGTCATCATCGAGCCTTACTACATGAGCTACTCTGCATTCAAGCACACCTGAATGACCACAGAAAAAAAATTTAGGACATACCTTCCTCTCCTCCCGCTCATGATCTTCAAATGTGAAGCACTGAGACTTCTGTGAAAGCAAAGCAGAAATGATCAGTCTCAAGAGGCAAGCAAACTGAGAAAGAAACTTGCTCTACAGTTTATAAGGAACGCTTCAAAGAAAGTAAATGGGCTCCCTTTACTCAGCCAGCCTGCATAGAAGCTAGGGCATAGTCATTCAACAGAAAGGCAGTAGGTTTAGAAATGAATTAGAACTGCAACCATTCTGTCTCACAAAAGGAAAGGCAACCTGTGGAACTCCAAGATGCAGGAAAGCAGTAAAGCAATGTGCAATAGACAGTTTTGAAGTGGTCTATTTATGTAAACTGATAAAACATAAGCAACTGAAGTCACTAAGAAACCAGGGAAAATGTTAATGGAAAAAATCAGGCCTCAGATGGTAGGAGTGCTTATGAAGTTTTCTTAATGTGATAAAGCACAGTTGACTTTAGATGCACTATGGAGGCCTTCACTTCCCTCTAAAATATCAGAAGGGGAGACACTAAGGAGCACAAGATCATGGGCAAGTTTGGTTAATGGAGTGTTTCAGGACAGGAGCTCCCTGGCTCTGGCATGCACATTTGGCAGAAAATAATTCTGCTAGTACTGCAAAACAAATTTGTGGTATTGCAAAACCAATTTAGCCAGTGTTATCTAAGGTCAAAGATTTATTGTATAGGAATTCTATGCTGGAACATAACAACAAAACAAGAGCAAGGATCACTTAACTGGTAATAGCATCTCTTATGGTTGCAATAAGGGCCTGATCTGGAGGCCACTGAAATCAATGGAAAGACTACTACTTACTTGAATACATATCCACCCCCCAACATTTGTCTTACTTTCATGAGCACTACTTACACCCAGAGGGTGTCCCCCAGGCTTTGCCCTGCTTCATTCTTCCCAATCCCACTCCTGCTCCAGGTTCCCCAAATTACCTCCATTCTGTGCAACTTCCTTCCTTTTAATTTTAGATGCAAGCCTTGTTATCTCCCATTTCTCTCTGTTACAGCACAAGCCTCATTCTGGTCCTCATTCTCTTCTTCTGTCTAAGCTATTCAGCAATTTAACAGTAGGGATCTTTGTCTTCATCAGTTCCTAGGGTTGTTCTAGTTTTCTATCATTAACAAGGTTGATTTCCCTCACTGCATGCTCCTTCTTTCTTTTAGGTCACTCCTCTGTAAATAACTTTTCTGGATAAGACCTTTAAAAATAACTCGTATTCTCCACAGGCACTAAAGATCCCTGGGCAGTCTTGATGTCTGGGTGATTCCATGGCTTAGCCTTATAGTGTCTGCTGTATAATGAGTAAATCCCTGGGCTTTGAGGCTCAGAGAAATCCACAGGCTCCTTGTTTTAATGGCTACCCTATAACATGGAATTCGTAGGCACAGGAGTCTCATTTTGTTGACCCTATAAGGTATAGATATGTCCACACATCACTGGACTTGATGCAGGAAACTGGTGAAATTCAACAGTCTGTGTTATAGAGGATGTCAGGCTAGATCAGTGGTTCTCAACTTTTTTAGACTCAAGGCACCCCTCCATAACTTTTGTGAATTAAGAGGCACCCCATTTGAAAACCAAATGTATTTATTACAGTGCTTGCCTCCTTGCAGAGGGGCCAGGCAGTCGGGGGTTGGGGAGCAGCCAGGTAGGGAGAAGCCTAAACCTGTGCTTGTCTACTTATCTCACACATTGGGAAACCCTTCAAAGGATCTTGTGGCCCCCAAGATGCAATCAACACCCTGGTTGAGAATTAGGGGACTAGATTATTGTAATAGTCACTACTACACTTTAAAAAAAGGAATGAATACATGAAACAAGCAACAGCTTGTGGAACGACGAGAATTGTAGGGAGGGGAGAGCTCACATGAAAGCTTGTTGTCAGTTTTTCAAATGACTTCATTTTTTTCAAGAGCCTATCACAATACTATTATAACCCCCATCACTGTAATATACTCATGCACTTTCCTGAACACAGAAACAATAATACAAACTCTAACTTCTTTCCTGTAGGAAAAACAGCTTGATTTGTTTATAGGTGCTTGGTTAGTTTGCTTGTATGTGAGGGATGTGTTGAGTGTCTATTTTCTTGTCTAAACCAGTGAAATTTTATATCACATGTAAATGGCTGGATTATCAACAGAAAGAGTTGTTTCTAGTCCTACTCCTGGTTTATTATTTCCTATGGCCTATATAACCACTCAGAAATGTGAGTGATTATCTCTGTGAAAAAAAAAAGATAGTTCCTCACAGAGAGAGATGCCCCATTCCGGAGCTGAGTGGTGGCCAGCCAAGCCTTTAAAGAATCTCATAGTCCAGAAAAGTTCTCTGGGACACAGCTTTAGGTTGATCTTGAAGAAGAGAGGCATGCTCCTTTTGTCTTCTTTGCAGTTGTGGTAATACAAATTCCCTATATCAGGGTCAGCTTGTATTTAGATTAGTTTCCACCATGAATACTTGATTTTTGTTCCTGCTTTCAGCACTAGCTTGTACAGTTGTAGATCAAGGAGTTCTTAGTGTTTCTTTAGTTCTTTTTTGCCTCCCCATTGACCATGGCTTTCTATGAGTAAGCAACCAGTTCAAGAGTTTTCTAGGTTGGCTATAAGGCATACCAGGAGATAGACAGCCTTCAGTTCTGTCCATTTTTTCTGTAAAAAGAGCAGTCCTAAGGAACCTTCCCCCCTATTTTACTTGGTAAAAAGCTGCCACATATGAAGGATCACATCCCCAAAGTGAGAAGGCAAGAAGGATATCCTACATTTAAAACAGAAGACTCCTTGCCAGGTGTGTGAAAGCACTCGGCTTTTGATTTTAACAGTACTCTCAAGACAGATATCAATCATTTCGGATTTTATACACACTTTTGCATTTTCAGTATTCTAGTAATCAACCTTCATCCCTCTCCTTGGGGAGTGTTTCCATTATCAGCTCCACAGCTAACATTCTTATAGTTTCCTCCATCTGCTCTGGATCCCTTAATATAGCTGCTAAGGTATGCTTTTACATCATAAGCTTTCTTGAGCAGAATAAAAGCTAACATCCTACACCTCACTTGCTTCTTCATTCAAATATTGACCCTAACTGCACCCTGGGATCTGCTTAGTCTTCAAACATTCCACTTCCTGATTAACTGTTCTCTGCATGGATCTAGCTTGTTATTACATCTGGCATGTCTGGCATCCTCCATCATTAAAGTCCTGACAGAATATACAGAGAAGAGGCATTAGGTACCTCGCTGTCAAGTTCCCCATTGTTTCTTTTATCTACCTATTGTCTTTTATTGCTTTGAAAACTTTTGTGATTTATTCAGCTTCTTCTTTTCAGAGCATTTTAATGCTCAGTTAACTCGTTCACGCTCACACTTCTGCAGGAGACCACATGCAGAAGCATTCTTAAGTACTACGTTTGCAACAAAACATCAGCATTTCATTGATATACCAGGCCTGCAGTTTGTACAGCATCACTGGGGGTGCATTTCACTCACTCAGTACAGTAAGCACTATCAAATCAGTTCATTTCATTCTATGATCTTTCAACCCTTCCTTGACTTACATTTTCTCTCTTGTGTATCTTTCCCTCCTTACCTTAGTTTACTTTGTACTTTCTCTGAGCAGAAATCAGTCTTCACTGTTAGCAGAGTAGCAGGCTCACAAAACTCTTCCAGTCCCTTTTTATCACTTCAAGTTTTTCTTCTCTTCCATTGTTTTGAAACTTAGTCAGGTTTAACTGATTTTCTCTTTCTTCCACATGTCTTTGTCTTCCAACACAATCTGTTTAACATTATTTACACAGCTAACTTGAATTATATGCATGGTTGCTTTAAGAGAAGCCTAGAAATGCAGACCTGGAAGGGACTGTAAGAGACCATCTAATCCATCTGTTGGTCTGAGACATGACCGAGTATATCTAGATCACCCCTAAAAGATATTTATCTAATCTGTTCCTGAAAACCTCCAGTAAAAGGGATCCCCATAACTTGCCCAAAGAACCCTTTCCAGTGTTTCATCACTCAAGCAGATATTTTTTCCTAATATCCGACCTAAATCATCTTTGCTGCAAATTAAGCAAAAATTGATGCAGAAATTTATCACTCTCTCTCTTATGCAGAAATTGATCACCATCGCTTTTACAACAACCTTCTAAGTACCGGAATACCATTACCCTGTAAGTACTTTTTCCCTTTGATGTATTCCCATTTCCAGGTCTCTGGTCAGATCTGCTATGGTACTCAAAGCAAAAATTAAAAAAAAAAAAATTAAAAGCAAGAAATTTGGTTTCGTTCTTTCAAGTTCACATATCCATAAAGTGCACAACAAGCCATTCATCTGTGTTTATTTTTAAACCTTGTCAGGCTCGGACACTGGGATGGATCCTTAGTTGTGCTGAGAAAGGGGTTGACAGTGGTAGATTTCCATCTCATGCCCTGCCCCTGGAGACCACAGAGGACTGCTTTGGTATGCAACACAAAGCTAGCACAGCGCCAGAGCTGCTTATGGGGCTGTTCCATCAGTCTAAAATTTCAGACAGACTTCCCTCTCCTCCCCCAAGTTTTGTTGGACCAGGAGCAGATGATGGCTTAGAGTCATCCCTGCTGGTCAAAGACTCCATTCAAAGACTACAAAGTACAAAACGGATGAAGAAATGGCCAAGAATCTGGACTCACATCTTTCACTGGTCTGTAAAGGACCATGAGCTGGGGTGGGACGGCAGAGCAAAAATGATATCTCACCACAGCTACCAAGGCACAAATTCAAGCTTTACTGAAGGCTGCCCTCAGTTGACCCAGCTGTAACTAGATATCTGGTTATTCAGGCTGGGGAGTCAAAGGCATCAGAACAGGATACTAGACACGTCACTCCCTTGTTTGGCACTGACTATTGCAATGAGAATACTGTAGGGCTCAGAATGAGCCTTTCACTTATGAAAGGGCCACATAAAGTTACAGTGATGCATAAATAACAAGTAATATTCCTTGGATATTATCCTTAGATTTGCTCCTTTTGCTTGTGATACTCATATGTATATAGATTTAGTTTTCAAACTCTGGGCAAGTCATTTTAGCCGGCTACTGATATGTGACACATTCCTAGCTACAGCTCTTTAGCCAGCTAACTTATTTTTTAAAACTATAACAGACTAGCCATGAAGTAGTTATTCATGATAATCCAGCTATGTTGTCCAACCTATCTGTGCCCAGTTACGGCCCAAATCTATATATTTTTCATACAGTTAGTGCTCACTATCTACTCTTTCAGTCCAACCTATCACTAATCTGTCTAGGGTCCTCCTAAGCATATCTGACAGTATGTCAGTTATTCACCACATGTTCTTTAAACACAACTGATCAGCATATGCAAATACATTCTCACTGCATAGCAGCTTGCAGTGTATATTCACTGCCTTATTTTGTGACAACGATCATTTTAATTGCACAGCTACAATCAGCATGAACCAAATAACTCACTCTCACTTTCATAATGAGCTTTGGGTGGAAAGTATAAAAAGAAATGTTTTCATCTTCTCTTTAGCACATTTCACATAGTCACTCAAATATACAGACCCAAATTCCAAGGTCCTCAATTCAGATTCTGCTTAGCCATTTTTCAGAGACCTTCTGAAATCAGCAGCAGCATTATCTGAGTCAGGAATGACTGAAAACGGAGGAGGGATCACAGGATTCACCCCACTACTCACTGCAGTAGATACATGATCGGAATCATGTGCCTGCATCCAAAGCACAACATTTCTAATCTGATCCTTTTTTTCAAAAGAATGAAACAATTTCCACATCTCAAGAAGAGGCATCTTCAAAAGGATGACCTAGAAATCTGTATCTACTCTATTCACCGAACACTAAGGTCCCAGGACTTACTATCCTAGATTACTAACACAGGTGTGGGTTGCAGTAACACCTGCACAGGTAATTGAAAACAAACCACAGTGCCAAACTGTGGCTGCACTACCTGTAAGTGTCCAAGGGGTAAAGGATGCAATGAGCCTTCCCTCAGTCCCCACCACTGTTGCCCTACTACATCAGACCAGTGATCCATTTACTCAGGCAGCCTGCTTCCAACAGCGATCCACTGCAGAAGCTTCCAAGGATGATGTATAATTGTCCATTTTACATTCATGCCCATGGTGGGGGTTTTCTTCCCAAGCCCAGGCAGTTAGTAAATTGATTTATGCTCCAAAGGATGAGGATTTCAAGTTTTCAATGTGGATTTCAATATTTTAGCCTACCTAATAAAACTCATTATCATGCATGCAAATGTCTAATCCTTTTTTAATTCTACTCAGCCACCTTGTCTCAATGCTATCTTATGGCAATGAGTTCCACGGGTTCATTATGCATACTTCCTTCTAAAATGTTTCAAATGTGTTCTCCTTTAAAATGTATGAATCAATGAGCCAAGAAATTAAGTCCAAACATAACTATTACAATAATTTACTCTCCCCTTCTGCATAAAAAGGCCATAAATTATTATCCTTTGTACTTCCTTCCATCATTTTTGACCAATGCTATGTTTCATCAAAGCTTTTATTGAGCTGTTCATAAATACTGCATAGGGATTCCCCTTCCCCACCACCTGATGACAGTTCATTTAGAACATATTATCAAGGTCTAAATAGTTCAACTTGTTCTTTCCAACGTACATATTCTTGTACCAGACTACAATGAAATTTTTGGCTTCCATATTACTTTATTGCCTAGCTTTATGTCTGATCCTGTGCTCAGTGAAGTTGATGATAGTCTTTCTACGGATTTCAAAGAGCTTTGGAGCATGCCTTTTGGTAGGTCCTTCAAGAAGTCCTGATGATCTTTGGCAGTCTTGACTTCCTCAAATGATTTTATGTCATCTACAAATTATGCCTTCTCCAGATACTTTGAAAAATATGAAACTCCAACAGTGCTGTTATGGATTCCTCGGGTATTTTAACATTAAGTTCCTTCCATGTTAAAAATGCCTGTTTGTTACCTGAAAATAATAGGTCTGGAGCATGTTTCTCACCATCAATTGCTATGGTAAAGACCAATAGAAAGAAATTGTTTCACTGTTCTGCAATATCTTATCCTCACTGATCATTCCATTTTCTCCCTAATACTCTAAACAGGTTTCTTATGGTTGATATACCTACCAAGAATGTCTTGGTGGCTTTTTTTATATATCTCTATCTGCTCTTCAAATTTCCTCTTTGTTCTCCTACTTTCCTTCATGTTTTGTCTACCAGGGTTTCTGCTATTGCTGCTGTTAAGTCATTCTTTAAGAGGACCTACTGTTTCTTAGGTGAGATTTCTACCCTGTAGAACTGCTTGACTGGAACAGATGTGGTACCCACATTTTTTCCTGGAAAATGACACTTTTGCAATAATATTTGCAGCTTTCTCTGCTCATTTTCCACCTACTTAGGAGTGGTGCAGAATGAGTCATGTAGATCTGCAGGGCCAAATGTCTCTCTGGTGTAACTTCCTTGAAGCAAGTTTCGCTGCACTTGTATAGATTATCTATCCCAGCACAACTATACACGTTTTTTTTTAAGAAGGTGACAGTATACTCATGAAATATTTTGAACTGTTTTTAGCCCAGCAGTGGAAATCTCTCATTCCTAAGTTTGCTCCTTTTGCATCCTATTTTCGATTTTTCCTATGATCACCTTTCAGAACATGCATATTTGGAAAATCCCCATGGGGTTTTTGCTCATTAATTGAAAGCCATAACCACTCAACTTCATCCATCACTCCTCCTCAGGCCTTCAAACCTTCCTTCATTATTCAGCTCCCACACTGACACAGTTTTCTAGCATGGACCCTAGATGTGAAAATCCCCTACAGAGGCTTTGCTTCCAGTACACAAGGAAAGCAGGAAAGAGATGTTTACTAGATGCTCATTGTTAAACCTTAACTTGCAAGATCTGCAGGAAAGAAAAAGGAAAGATCAAGCAGACAAGCAATACAGACAAATGCAAGTAGATGAGGCAGATAGAAGCTGGATAACACAGAGAGCTGAGTGTGTATGCACCTCTGATTTAGCCTATAAGGTACAGATCTACCCTGCCTTGTGCCTGACAGAGATCCCAGAACATGGAACTTCTTACCAACCTACTTATAAATAGGGAAAGGCAACATCAAGCAGCAGCTTGCCACACTCACTTACCTCCTGATTGTAGATCTGCAGCACCTTGAGGACTGTGTCTTGCTCCCCGCTTTCCACAGTCGCTACCATAGTCCTGAGCTCCATTGCTCCAGCAGCTTAGATATAGATATGAGGCAAGATGGGAAGGGGCTTTGCTATGTTGCTGGATAATTACAGATGCAGGGGGACCCTGCCACACAGACAGCTGGGGGGGGAGAAAAAAAACAAGTGCGATTGCTTATCTGTTATACCTAAAAAGCAAAGCAGATGGACATCCCCAGTAAAACCAGCCACAAGCTTCCTCTTTCTCTCCCTCTCCCCCTCCCTTTAATCCTCTTCCTTCTCTCTGCCTTTCAGTGTTTAATATATGCCCTCCCACTAAATCACTTAGGAAACCTCCCTCACCCCCAGCCTGAGGATTAACACAGAACAGATAACTGCAGCTCCCTGAAATAGCCCTCCTTCTCCTCCTCCACCGACTGTCCTGATTTCTCACACTGCACAGAGGAAATCACACCCCCAACACATACAGACACACAGAAACATCCCTGGGGAGTAACAGGGGCGCACAAGAGAGCAATATAGACAGACAAGCTCCATCCCGACTGGGTTAAGGTGGAGCAGTCTTTTAAAGGTGGCATGAAAGAGTTCCTCAGCAGTTTCTTCAAAAAGAAACCCAGCCTGGTGCATTTGGGGCCTGCAAAGGGCTATGTAATTAGGGAAGTTGGAGGACATGCTGAACAGACTACACAAGTGTGTGTCTTCATGATACAGGAGGAAATAGGTTTACACCATCTCAAAAGCCAAGTGATCTGTTATAAACCACTAGACACACATTTATGTTTAAAGGCTAGGCATGAGTTTAAAGTGTCTATAAAGAACCACATAGGCTTACAGTGCTGAAACTGTGACTTTAAATAATAATAAGGGGTCACATCATAAATCACAGTATGATTCCACACACTTGTGAAAGCACAAAGGTTTAAGATTCTATAGCTATGTGACAAATTTTGCAATAGTACTGAAGACGGGTAGTGTAAAATGACACAAAGCCCCAATCCTAGACTCCACAGGGAGCTGCTTACTACAGAATCAAACGTCTACATCTATATCTACACTGCCACAGAAAGTCATGACTGACTGCAACATGCACAGAAATACCCAGACTGGCTTTGATCTAGATAGCATAGGTACTGACAGCAGCAATGTTGCAAGAGCGCAAGTGTCATTTTGGTCCATATAAACCCACCCAGAGCCTTGGGTAATCAGTGGTTGACACCTGTGCCAGTGACTTCACTGCTCTCATTCTCTAGGCTAGCTAGATTAAAACCAACTCAAATGTGTCTACATTGCCACAACGCACAATGTAGACACGGGTTAAGACACCACAAAGCAGTGGTTCTCAAACTTTTTTTTTCGCAGACCACTTGAAAATTGCTGAGGGTCTCAGCGGACCACTTAATCTCCATCGTCAGAAAAAATAAATCAAATGCAGGGCCAACTACAGATATTTTTGATTGTTCTGCAACCTATCTGTGGACCATCTGAATGGAGCTCACAGACCAGTGGTGGTCCGCGGACCACAGTTTGAGAACCTCTGCCATATGGTTTGTGCCATCGCTACAAAGTTATCACAGTTAAAGTCAGAGTGTCAGTTTAATGCACACTGGGTATGTCTACACGTCCATTAATGCACTTTTCCTGACGCACATTAAATTTGGTACCTCGAATTTGAGATCCTAAATAAATGCGCATTAGGCTACCCTAAAATGGAGTAGTGAAAGTGCATGCTTTTTTAGCAAAGCTTAAAGCACACTAGCCTATTTTTACTACGCATTCGCATATTAGCATAGTTTTTATGAGATGCTTTAATACGCAGTAAAATAGGCTACTACACCTTAAAGTGCACCTATAGATGTGCCCACTCTGACATCTCATTGCTCCATATAGAATTATTTGGGAAGAAAAACAGGAACACAACGCCCACATATGCACACAATGAACTAAGAGAGATTTCATAGTGGCATAGACATTAAAGATGGAACAGACAGCTCCTTCCTTTAGGACCAGTGCAGGATTTATCCCTAACACAGTACTCTCCAGCATGTTGCCCAGTCCAGCGTCACATAACAATGCAGGAGATGGACTATAATAACCACTGACCTCAATCTTTGCAATTTTTATTCTGCTTGTTTAAGGTCCCCTCCTCCTCTTTATTGCCATTCTTTCCTCAGGGTTCAAACCCCTAAGAAAACAGACCTATTTGTCACCTTTAGTCCCCTAAGAAAACAGGAGGAGGCTTGGTTTCCTGCTCCTCCTTTTGACCAGCATCCTACTGAGATTCACTCATGTGCTTAGCTTTACATCTGGGAGCAATCCCATTGAAAGGAACTGAAAATACTCCTGGTAGCAAAGCTCCTCTGCGGAAGCCTTTGTGGGATCACAGCATTAGTGAATAATTATAGAGATGTGGCTTTCTATTTTCCTGTGAAGCAAGTCCTTGCTGATCGCTTGAAAAAAGGGACAAAATGGAGACGATTTCAGGCAAGCAGGGACCCTGCAGAGAGAATCTACATGGAAGTGTGGCAGAGGCTGCAACAAACTGGTGGATTTTAAGGCCACCTCTGCTGGGATTTTAAGGGGCCAAGGGGACAGAAATGTGTGACTGCCATGAGCCATCCGAGGGAGAAAAGACGAGCGAGTTACCTTCTCTTTAGCTGCGCTGGCTCAGGTTTCCTGCTTCATTTCCTGGACACTGCTGCTGCCCCTAGCCCTCCCCAGCTCTCAGCCAGAGGAGGCAGGGAGGGGTGGCTGGAAGCTGGGGGGAGACCCAGGCAAAGGGAAGAGCTGCTTTACCTGGAGGCTTGGGGTTGTGGGACAGGGCAGAGATCACCCACCAGCCTGCCAGCCATGCAAGCAATCAAGAGCCTTGTCAGGGGTTGAGGCTGTTCCCCGCCCCGCACTATGAGCAAGAGGAATATAAAAAAAACATGAGCACTGTGCACAATGCAAGGGGCGGATCCTGCTGCCTGCCAGGGGAGGGCTGGTCTCAGTGGTGGCAGATGACAGGACAAGGAGCAATGTGCTCAAGTTGCAGCAAGGGAAGTTCAGGTTTGATATTAGGAAAAGCTTTCTCCTGAGGAGGATAGTAAAACACTGGAACAGGTCACCCAGAGAGGTGGTGGACTCTTCATCCTTGGAGGTTTTTAAAATTCAGCTGGACAAAGACTTGCTGGGATGATGTAGTTGGGGCTGATCCTGGTCTGAGCAGGGGGCTGGACTAGATCAGCATTCCTCAACCCGTGGGTCACAAGAATATATGAAAGGGGCGCAAACCAACTTGGAAAATGGATCAAGAAACTTTAAAAATGGATTCTTCCTTATAGCAAAAAAACATAGGAAACCAGGGTTTTTCCCTTGCAGGCTGGCAGAGCTCCAGCCTGCCAGGGGCTGCTTGGGGCCTCCACTGCCTCACACTCTGAGGGGCTAGGGCCTGGGGGCAGCGGGTCCGGAGTGAATCCAGACTGGCCATCAATGTTTACAAATGGGTCCTGGTACAAAAAAAAGTTGAGAACCACTGAACTAAATGACCTCTTGAGGTCCTTTCCAACCCTCATTTTTTAGGAATCCCTACAATAGTGGTTCTCAACCTTGTTTTAGACTCAAGGCACCCTCATGAGACTCAAGGCAACCCTTGGAAAATGCCAACTTTTCATTTTCACTCGTGTTTCTGCTACAGAAAAAAAGAATCAAGCCGTTCTGCTGCTGCAAAGAACTCAGCAAGGCCACAGGCCTGAGATAGGGTCCTAGGATAGCCAGAAGCTTGGGTGTTTACACCCATGATTTTCAACCGAGATGCCATGGCACTCGGGGATGCCTTGAGGTCCTTTCAGGGGTGCTACACAATGTTGTCCCTGTTGAGTGTGCTAATGGGATTCACAAAATAAACCCAGAGATGTCAGGAAAGGAATCCATGGTGTTAAAAGCATTCAGACCTGGAATGGCCTGCATGAGTTCTTTGCAACAGAATTGCTCTACTTTTTTTCTGTAGTCTAAACATGAGTGAAAAATAAGAGCTGGCCTTTCCTGATGGGCTGCCTCCAGCCTGTAAGAACATAAGAATTGCCATTGACTGTATCAGACTATAGGTCCATCTTGGCCGGGGATCCTTTATCACACAGAGTCTCTGGCCAGGGAGACCATTCACATCTCCAGGCAGAGTTTCACTGGGAGGTGTTCACTGGCTCCTTGGACTTGACTGGGGACCAGTGGGCAGTGTCCCATGTGCTCTGCATGATGTCTACCCTTGGTGCATTTGCTTTGAACCTATGACCTTTACTCTGTCCCTGCTTCTTTTGTTTTCTCAAGTAATCAGTTGACACATGTGAAGCTAAGGCCCATGTCCCCAATAGGTGTTAAATAGGCCTGTGTCACACAGAGACTCTGGCTGGGCAGCCCCTGGGGACTGTGGGGCCACTTTCCTGTCCCTGGTCTGTTGATGTCTCTGGGCAGAGTTTCACTGGGCAGTGTCCACTGCCTCCTTGGACTTGTTTGAGGGCCAGTGGGCACTGTCCCACATACTCTGCTCAGCCTGTCCCCCTTGGTGCACTCGTTTTGAACCTGTGACCTTCACTCCTGTCCTTGTTTTGTATTTTTTTTTGTCCCATGAATTCAGCTGACACATACCCAATAGCTCCCTCTATCATTAAGGGGAGGTAATTGTTGATCTGTGGGCATAAGGGCTATGTTCCCAACATGTGTCAAATAGGCCTGTCACACAGAGGCTCTGGCTGGGGGCCCCCTGGGGACTGCAGGGCCATTTTCCTGTGCCTGGTCCATTCATGTCTCCAGACAAAGTTTCACTTGGCAGTGTCCACTAGCTCCCTGGACTTATTCAGTGGGCACTGTCCAGTTTACTCTGCTCAGTGTCCCCCTCCTTGGTGTACTCATTTTGAACCTCTGACCTCACTCCAAGTCCTGTTTTGTCTTTAGTTGCCCCCTGAAATCAACTGACATATACCTAATTGCCCCCTCTAATAACAGGGGGCATAGGCTGCAGAACGGGGTGGGCCACCTGGGCCACAGCCTGACCAACTTGTAGCACATCAATTTATATAACTCACAAATGCGCATTTGCCATTCCAGTTAAAACTGTATAGCTATTTTTTTAACTGCAGAGCTAGTTAAGTTAACGTGCTAAATGTTGGTCAGGCCACGGCCTGGGTGCCCCACCCTGTTCCGTGGCTTATGCGGGGGGGGGGGGGGGGGGGCGGGAGGT